AAAAACATGAAAAAGTTCTAGTGTATAATTCATTTATCAACACCGTTTTACGCTAACACAATTATAAAGAAAATCGCATGCATCATGTATCACTAGCATATTCCTGATAAAACCGCTGTACAAGAATCACAGAATCTGCTTACATTATGTTTTAAACGATATGGTGTGTTTGTACATAATCTACAATTATTTTTTTCATCTTTTGAAGATTAATATGGCGTGTTATTCATTAGAAAAATATCAATATTGACCGAGGCGAATCATTATAATTGAGATACCTAAATAATGTTATAATAGATTTCACTCATTTTTTGATAAAATTAACGAGTACTTTTCAAACATAAATAATCTGTTTTTGGCACTTTTAAGTTAAAAGGATACTTATTTTAAATGCCTTCATGTATTATTTTTAATGGCCGAGAACAATTCCATTATTTTAATTTTCTTATATTAAATATAATACATGTTGCGATTATAGTCCCTTACTATAGCAGATAAGACTTAGATGAGTTTAAAATAATTTTATTAGCATTTTGAAATAAATCTCACTTAGCATGAGTGTTCCGACGGCGACGCGTTACTTTAATTTTTGTGCAAATTAGTTTAATCACATTCGTTGAGAAACAAATGTTGTATCTCCCAAGATTGAAATCAAGCCATCCAACGTGATAGAGAGTAATTGTGGTCGTTTGACAATTGTTTTCAATGAGGGAAATTTTCGATGTTACCATTAACTTCAAATCATGTATAAACAATGTGCATAAAACAAATAAATTATAAATTTAATATGTAATTTGATTCAGCACAGTTGAAAGTCTTCCAATAATAACTTTAGGGCTTGAAAATTCAGATGAATGTAATAATCGATACAATGTTTATATTTCTGCCTAGCGAGAAAGCTTATCTTGTAAAGTTGGTTCCTTTTACATTATTTTCAGACCGGTCCCTATTTGCATGTAATCATAAATATATCAAATTTAAAGATGTTGAATGTCAAAATTAAAAAAAAAACGCAGCACAGTTAAGGTTGCAAAAAGGAGGCGGAGCCTAATTTGTACGGGAAAACTTGACTATGACATCATACACAGTATACGTCATACAACATTTCTTTAAAATACCACAAAATGAGTTTATCTGCTAATTTAAGCAGTAAGAAATCATCAAACGACATAAAAAACTTACTACATCGTGTTGTTTCGTCGTTACTTAAATCCCAAACAACAGGTTATAAACAAGTCACTGATCGAAATACACTTGTCAATATGACGTCATTTCTTACAACGTGACGTAGTTTGTATGCAGTGAGAGACAGATCAAGTAATATTTTATTAACAAAATATGTATTCTCTGATTAAATAAAATATTATTTACAGATATTCTATGGGCCAATAACTTGAATTTAATGTCTTCTTCACTATTTTATTAATATTTATTCTGTACATTACGTATTTAATTGATACTGCCGTATATTTGTATGCAAGTACATTGGAGGGTAATGTGGGCGGATTTTTAATAAATCGATATATGCAAGGGCATGCACTCTATGGATCAAAGTAAGCTTTTACATTCAACTAAAGAACTATTGAGGTTTCTGAAAAGTGCTGCGATCCTGATGAAATCTTAAAAACAATTTAATTATATCAATATTTCATGCCGCTGACCAGCAAAAAATATAACATTCGGTCATACAAGTATAATTTGAACTATGAAATTGCAGAATTTAGACAGGATCGCAGCACTTTTTAGAAACAACAGTGCGTGTTGAAAATATTTATATACTAAAATTTGAAATTTAGCTTGGTTATGGTTTAGCTAGTGATATTTATATGTAACATCAATACTTCAAATCAATATGCTAAAATCGCATGACTGTCGCATCACGTGACTAGTCTAAATATAAAATATAATCGTCCTTGATATGTAGTTATTAATCATAATTACAATTATCCGATATAAATAATATACTAAAAATAATCGCCATCCCGATTACGAACACATTTTTAAATACAAAATTTAGTCGATATTTCCATTGCGCACCTTAACTGTACTGCGAATCGCTTTCCCTTATCTTTAAGCCGCCATTACTGAGCAAGTAGAGTGTTTTTATAGTTAAATATTTTTTTCATAATTTTTTCTCGCAAATACATTGCAAGGAAAAAGATATGCAGCCCGAGTTTGATAAATTAAATCAACTACCCTCTCTTATATTTTTTTTTAATTCGATGATTTATCTAAAGAATTCACCGGACTGGAGCATACTTATTAATTTAGGCAATTTTTAGGTTAATCATTGCTAATTTTCAAAGATATTTTTCATACTTTGTTATCTGTGAGATTTATAAACACAAAGAGCTCCAAAATCAATGCAGCAAATTCAAAATAAGAGCGTAGCAAACATGAACCTCAAAAACATCAGATGTGGGGTCAGGTGCCATGGAGGAGTGAGCATCCCCTGCCGACCGGTCACACCCGCCGTGTGCTTCTAGTCATGCATGCTCGGGAAAACAACGAGAAACTTCGTTGTCAATTCAGTGTGTAAATAATAGACCAACAATTAGTATAAATAGCCAGTCATTTTTTAAATCTAAATTTGCTGACAAGGTCATTGTATCGACCAGTCAACACACGAATTTATGACATAAAAAATAATATATTCTGATGTTCTTGATTCATCAACTTGTTTGTCAATAATTCGTCTCGTATAACAAATAACAAATGAGATAGAAAAAAAAATCTCATCTGATTTAGATTGATATTTCAAGAGTTATCAAAATCCATGTAATGGTCCCCGGGTCCCCGAAAAGGGGCTTAAATATTTTAAATTCGCCCGTTGTCTTTCATACATTGATTCTCATCTGCAGGAAAATTATGACCTTTATTTTCTCACAGATACTTTATCACCCTTAGGACAAGGCACCACCTAGATTGTCAAGATTAATGCTCTATCGAGGTTATCAAACCTCAGTGTCCAACAAATATCTGCTTGCAGGAAAAATTAATTTACAGAAGGTGTGAGGGATAAATGTACGTTTTTACAAAAAAGTCTTTACAGATTCTAGCAACATTTTCCTTAAGGTGATCATGCCGAATAATAGGAATATGAAGATCGAGTGTATCATCGACCTCTTTAAAATGTATCCCCAGAAACCAGTTTTTTTCCTCTAACCAATAAAAATAATGACCACACTAAAACTAAAATATGCGAGTTGATAGTCTTTGTGGTATGTTTAATTTACTAATCTTTTTTCACAAAAAATTCAAGCATACCAGATAATTTTATGATGGAAATTACCTGTTCAGTGCGATCTCGCAATGCTAAAAATTCTACTTTTTCATCTAAATCAGGAAGCTGCTGAAGGAAGGACATCATTTTGTCTATTTTGCCATGCTTGTGATAAAAGTCTGCCGCTTTGTAGCTCAACTGGATTTCTGTTTGATATTCAGTTGGAGGGTTTTCTAGAAGACGCTTTGGAAGTTGTTCATTTCTTTCATCATATTCCTGAAAAACGATAATAAATTAGAAAGTAAAATCATTTAAACTAGAAGGACAGATCAGTTTTCTAATTAAGTAGAGATGCCGTATAACTAAAACTCCTGGCGAGGATTAAATTTTTGGCATCATTATCGAGGGTGTGAAGATTGAATATCTATAACATTTAATTGCGTGTTTTTGTGTGTTGTATTATTTCGAATTCGCTTTTATTAATTTCGTTTAAATCATTTACCATCTTATTAAAGAATAGTCCTAACTTTTGACCTTCGCTTAAATTTTCACTTCCACTTTCCGGTATCATATTTGAGGGGAAAAGGCCTTAATTTTATAATTTTTAATGTTCTTTTTTATGATTGATCCTTTCAGTGAAATACATTGATTCCACTCCAAAATTCACTCCAACAATAAAAATTAGGAGCAGAGAAAACACGTAACTCTAAAATATCAGAGGTGGGACCAAGTGCCCTAGAGGAGTGAGCATAACATGCCGACAGATCAAACCCAACGTGTACTTCTTGTCATAAACAGAATAAAATAAAACCGTAAACGTGGTAATTTTAGCGAGCTGCAAATTTTGCAATTTGACCATAAAATTGGTATATTGGGTATTTTTAGCGAGATAGAATTTTAGCGATTTCAAATTGCTCACAAAATAAGCCATTGCAAATGAAAAACAATTGATTTTTGCGATACAGGCACCGTCACTAATAATGCTAATATTAAATCATCGCTAAAATCTGCTATACGGTACATGTTTAAGTATCCCTAGATTCAAAACTATCACAATAAACCCAGAATTTAAAATACGGAAAAATCTATGTAACATAACTAAAAAATTATTATATGAATTGAAAAGATATGCTTTACATGAGTCACAATGCATTGTTAGCAGGGACATTTTTTTCCGGATTTCAATGTCAAAACGATTAAACTTGTAAAGAATGTATTTTTCATAAAAGTTTATTTGGCTTACAGGTGACACTTGTTTGGAGAGAACAAAAAAGAATATTGCATGTACCTTCTTTACAATTCGAAACCTTTTTAGGCAATGAATTGCAAATTCAAAGAGTTCAGCGTCACAGAGTAGACTAATTGCCTGCTTATATTTTCCTGCTAGCTCGAGACACCTGCTTCCCTCCACAGGTAAGTGCATCTTCTTGTATATTTCTGCCGCCTTCTCAAACTGCAAAGAAATACACAGTGTGTCATTAAGTATAATGAATTATGGCTATTTCTCAAAAGATAAACAATCAATTGTGTCAATGACTATATTTACCCTTTTTAAACTGTCCTTGTAAAATGTTATTGAACATTCATATAAAACTCACAATATCTAGTTTAACAAAATTGTACATGTGGTATCTAATTTTGGGAAATATAAAAGAAAATAAATGACTATCAATAACAGGTACTTTTATTTAGTCGACTAGCATGCAATTTCAACATGGAAAAAATATTGGAAAAACAATAAAATGTAAATAGATGTACCTGATTTGTCTTTTCATAGAGTTTTGCAGCTGAGGAAAATTCTTTCGCAAACTCCAAACACCTTCCCGCCATAGATGGGACTTCACATTCGAGGAAGTCATGTGCCGCAGATAGAAAAGTCTCTTTTATTTGTGCTGAATTTCCTTGCATGCTTAAATGAAAAAAAAAATAAAGAATTTTGTAACAAAACTAAAATAATAAATTTGACATTAAATCACCAGTCCTCTTAATCAAAATTTCTTTTACATCTTCCCAAATTAAGGTAGAAATGAACAAAAAACACTCTGTGCACCTTATCATAATTAACAAAGCAATCGAACGTATCTCCATTTCAAGAATTTCCGTTTAGACATTTGATTATATTTTTTTAAAGATCAGAGCAAATTTATTTGTTATTTAATAAAATTATTAATGCTCACTTTTCCGAATCATTATTTTATATAAAATAATAATTAGAGCCACGCCTTTTGAAAAAACGAGTGGGTTACTACACGTACTACGTAAGTTCAGTTAATGAGAGAATGGTTTTCATAAGAAAGAAGCACGTTTGTCTTCTAGGACCTTAAACGCGCCTCTATTCAACATGCATACTGACCATATATTATACACACTTGTATTACCTTAAAAAAACAGGACCTAGACGAAAGATTAAAAGCTTATAATAAAGGGTTGCAGGAAATGCGTTGCTTACGATTCTTGCACGCTTTTGCTTCAATTTTGATTTCAGACTGGAATCTCATATTACGATCTAGTTGTTTACGTAAAAGAGATCAATAAAGATTTAGATCAACTGATTGAAATATAAAATATCTACTTAGCTATTCATTTATAATCATTATAATTTATAAATTGTGATCTGCTTGTTGAATGGTTTAGTGCAAATTATTGTCTACAAACAAATCATGTTTACTGAAGTCCAAATTACGAAGTACTATAGAAAAATATCACAATTGACTTTTAATAATTAAGGATTTAATTTGATAATTCGTTACTTTTCATATGTAAACCAAAAATAAAAAATAAAATCTGAGAAATTTTGTCATTCTCGATATGCCTGTCTTCGACCCATTTTTATCTCGGCATTCCAGTCGATAGGGTACTTCGTAATTGGATGACCTTAGTTTTTTTTTAACCCCGTACGCGGATGATCTAAATCGATAAAAATATATGTTGCAGTTGATCCTTTGAAAAGCGCTCTGGACTTTCAAATAAAAGTTACAGTTATTCGGATGAAAATTTAAAAAGACTGAAACCTCTCGTAACAGCATACGTTGAAGCGATGAATTCAATGTGAAGGTATCTCTTTGCTAAATGGACTTTAGTTCCGAGATAATATTGTGACGTCTCTATATTGCGAATATCATATAAATTTCGTTGCTTTGATTACACCAATGCACAACATAGAAATATAGTGCTAAATGTCCTTTTTGGTGCCATATCCAGTAATCTGTATTTCATTAAATAAGACAAACTCTGTGCATTTTTGACTTTAACAACGTTTTCCCAGAAGGATACCAATTATATTCAAATTATAGCATTGCACCGTGCGCATGTGAAATGCATGTGCGTTTTGATCATATCATCTTGTCTACACTATCTACATATTTTAATATACAATGTATTAAAGCATTTTTTTCTATATCATATTGTAGGATATCCTAATGCATGACTATGTTTTAAATTTCAAAGCATTTCGTCAAGGAACAAAGGAGATATAGCCATTTAAAGTTTCAGCCAATCAGATTGCAGCACGCGGGCATGCGCATGCTTTCATGAAAATTCTTATATATCATGCTCATATTAATGTAGGTCTATGTTCAAAATTTCAAAGGATAATAAGAAAAAGAATTTATTTTAGTTTCAGCCAATAAGTATGCATTCGTGAGTCACAATATTTTTTTTGACCATGTCATTTTTTACTACTAATGTATCCTTACCATTATAAGTTTCATTTTAAACATTTCCTCACAAAATAGAAAAGATACGGTTATATCCATTATATATTAATTTTAAGTTTTGCACTGCGCGCATCTTGCAAGCATGCGTGCGCAAAATTACCTTGTATTTTTTGGCAACCTTTGAAAAGGTTTCCTAAGTCGGATGTGTAGGATCGCACAAAATTTTCCAAGAAAAATAATAAGCGAATAATAATAATAAGAAAAGCAACTTTGTATTTGGGGAACATAATACAAATGTGTGTTGGATTTATTTTCGTCGTTAATTTATTACAAGAAATATAACGAAGATTTCATTCAATAATACATTTTATTTACTGCTTTAAGAATCTGTGAATATCTAGGTGAGCTTAATATTCCTCATATTAACCAGTAATTTAATGATAGAATTACAGTCCAGTATATTCTTTTTTATATTTAACCACCTACCGCGATGCAATTAATGCTTTTTGGTGACTTTTGGCAATTTTTTCCATCGTTGGATCACCTCCAAGGCGGAAGCACTTTGCAGCAACATCGTAGAGAGACTTTTTCATAAATTCGTCGCCACGATTTAGCCAGTCGCCTATGCTTGATTCCTCAGCAAACATCAGATCTCCTGTGAAAATTGTTAAAAAAAAATGGGTATCACAACATCAAAAGTGAGCATTTATTTATTGAAAATTAACATACTAAAACAAATATAGTTTTGATGTAGAAAAAAAAACATGATTGTTTTTTAATAACGCTGAAGCCATTGCAGAAAAACAAGTACATAACTAGCTAACTAGGATTATGTTTTTTTCTGCAACAGACGTGATATTAACTACCGTTCTAACAAAAAAAATATTGTTAATAAATATAAAATAATTAAGAGAAACAGAAATTAAAAATGTCAAATATTGCTTTATCGATTTGTATGTGATTGTATGCATATTTGGTGGAAGAGCCATTGTCTAAGAAACCTATGCAGGTATCATGTACCTGTGTGTCATTGAAGTTGTGTCTAAAAGCAGGGGTTAAATAGACTGATATATGTATAATGAAATATATTTAACAAATAAAGCAAGTCATATTCATTGAATGTAAATAAATAATGCTTAAAGTAGGACAAATTTTTTCCTCATATTCAATTTTTCTGAATTCGAAACTTTGATATTTTGTTCTAGGACACAAAATCTCTCTCAATATAATATGAAAGAAATTCAACCGCACATATTTTGCCCATATTTTCTGAAATAAGTCCTATCAGACCCATGTAAGAAGATTGTGAAATCAGACACTCGACTTGAGAATGAGCCTTATTTTAGAATTATTAATTGATCTATTGCAAGTTTGTGCTATAATTTGATAAAGATAACATTTTTGTTAATATTTAACTTAGTAACTCATATTGATACTGGACCATTTCAGAAAAATATTAGGTAAAACTAGAACACACATAGCGTCGAAATTGAAAATTCACAGGTAAATACCCTACACTTAAAGTTTTCTAAAGAAAAAATGTATGATTCCATTTTTGCAAAAAATTAACAGAATGATAAAAATGGGTCCAAAAATAAAATATGTAAAAATAAAGAAATTGAAGTGGTAGTTTCTGATATTTTGGCAATAAAAAGAATTTAAATGACAGAAAAAATAACAGATTCAGTAGATGACGTCACAATATTTGACGTTTGACCTCTTGATATGACCTTGACCTTTATGATACACAAGGAACAGAGACTCCTTATATGGGTGTCCAAATATCAGCCCTCTACCATTTATTGAACAGAAGGTACATAGCATTTTATATCAGACTGTTACATGCTTGTTTATCGCACGTAGATAGTATAAAGACATTCCAAAATGTAAACTCCCAAGTGATCAACATATACAATTCTCTGATTTTTTCACAAAATATGACGCGATCATGCCAAAATTTTTTTTATTTTTCTTACAGGGGGTCATTCATTGTTGTCAATGTAGTAATATTATTCTTTTTTTCTCCAGTATTTTTTGAGAAATTAGAAAAAAAAAAACAGAATCTGGGAGTGTTTTGTACTACCTTAAATGAAATATGGACGATATCTTACCACTACCCTCATTGTCTTTCACTGCTTGCACAAGCTTTCTAGCTTTAAAATATTCAAACATTGGTGCCCGTTTATTCTCGTTTTCATCAAAGATCCAAACATGAACCCTAGCTCTTGTAACTGCCGTGTATAAATGTTTAAGTTCAGAATTAAGAACTTTGTGCCGATTTGGATCAAAAGACAATGGTCTTGGACGCCCTTCCTCTTCAAGAACACCTAAAAAAGTCCATAAAAGCTTAGAAATCACAGACTTAAGTGTAGTAGTGTTATCTATTTAAGTAATACAACTTAAGAAAGAACACTCACTGTAATCTATTTCATAAAGACTATCATTTTCTTTTCCTGTCGTTGTTTTGTTAGTTTCTGAGATTCTTATATTTTCTAAGAAGTTGGTAACAATTCTCCATTCTTTTTCAGCCTATTATAACAAGAAATATATTCAATAGATTTTGCACACGTCGTTTTCAATAATACATTTTATAAGTAATACATTTGGTATTAATACTCTGTGAATATCGGTAGGTGTATATATCTTTATCTTTATGATTTTCTATACATTCTTAAAAATACTTAAGTAATTAAAAGGGAATATAAAACGTGTACATAATTTTCTGTAAAAATTGTGGAGTTCCAATGATTGAAGGGCATTCATATTTTTCATACAACATAAACAATAGGCCCATGGGCCACCTAGATCATCTAAACACTGCCTCTTCGTTTTGATTGGATAGGTTATTATTTTACTTTCTATTTAGTTATTGTAAACATTTTTGTTTATTAAAGCTACGAATTTAGTGCATGGACCCTATTTAAAATTTTGATTTTTATAGAGAATTGATATTAAGAATCATGTGGGAATGTATTTTAAGCAAAAACATTCTGGGGAGGTTGCATTCTGAGAGAAATGTCCGACAATGTCATCGACCAGTCGTCATACCTGTGCATAAAAGACTCTCGACTCCGAATTAAATGAAACAAATGAGAGTAAGAGCAGGGAATATAACCTTCATGTTTGAAACAAATTTAATTTAGTTTAAACAAAGGCGGATCCAGCACTCTAGGGCGTGTCGATCCCCTCTTGCCTTTTGTTTTTTTTTTCTTCATGCATATGACTTTCAAAAATCATTTTTCCTTAACTTGTATACTTTCTTTTACATGTATCAACATGCAATAATCATGTGCATAGTGGCAGGTCTGATAATGATTTCTAATTTTCCAGTTTGGACATTTTTTTCTGAAGTAAACCATATACGTACTGCCCGATTCCGTTCTTTTAAATTTTCTTGAACCCATGTTTGGATAAATATTTAAAGCGCTATATTATGCGATTTGAAATATACTTAATATTCCTATTATATATATCATTTAAGATATGGACAAGTCGGATTCAGATTTCCGTCATCGCTATAAATAAACCGTACTGCATCGTTCATACTTTGCGGATAAAGTACAGTTTCTGCTAATTTGCATAGGAAACGCCCTCAAAAAGTGTTCTGCATGGCAAATACTGTGCGGTTGACTTCAAAGTAAAACTCGCTGGGTCATGTCACAACATTAGGTAAACGATTCCTATTTGATTCTAAAAATAGGAAATTGGAACACGTGCATGCTTTTCTTCAAATTTTGCAGTCTCTTTACGATTCAATAATCGACCAAAAATCCAAATTTAGCCATCGCATCAGCATGGAAAATTTTTATTGTATCTTTTTTGGAACAAGAATAAGTGCAATTGCTTTTCACCTCACCTGAGTCGAGGCCCAAGTGAGATTTTCTGATCATAATTTTTCCCGTTGTTTTTCGTCTTCGCGGTTGTCGTCGTGACCATTTCCACGTCAAACACATTTGCCTCAGAGGACTTTTGCGTTAATGAAATTTAAATTTATGCTTGTTCATATGAAGCGCTACACCTTCTTCCAGGGGAGATAACTTGGAATTAGTGAAGATAGAGTGTATGTTTTTAAAATTCTTTTTTCAAAAACCAGTCGGCAGGAAAAGAGTGAGCCGCAATGGGTAATAAAATTTCTAAATAAAATATATATGTAGGAAATACTTCTAATTAAAACGTCGCCTCAAGAACAAAAAATGCATTCCTGGTAATATTGATATGAAAGCATCCTCAAGGTATTGTAGATTCGAATTTGTTTATAATCATTTCATTTGTTTAGATTGAAATTTGACTGAATCATGATACCCGGTTGGGTTAGGAACCACATTGGGGTACCAGTTTGAGATAAAAAAAATAAAGAAAAAAAATCAACTTCTCAAAACAAAAAAGCTGTTTTAAGTCAAATTGACTCTTGGGAGTAAGAAGGGACCCAAATGGAGGATCGAATTTTTACAAAGTAATATATAGGAAAGCTTTTTAAAAAAAATATCAGCAAAATTAAATATTCTATATTGATATGGAGGCATCCTCAATAACTATGATGTTTTAACCATCTCCTTCACACCCATATCCGTAACTGATATGTACTTTTTCCTAGCCAATGAGCTCAGGTTAGGGATTGGCCTATGGGCCTTTTATTTATCTTACATGTATAGTCATTATCAGTTCTTCTTGTAGAGCTGATGAGCCCCATGTTTATATTACATTGAGAATGCATATTTAATAAGATATAGTCTTCCATTTACAACAAGAGGCCCAGGGGCCTGAGCAATTGGCTCGGAAACAGCACATATCAGATCAGAACTGAAAGTTTACTGGGGGGGGGGGGGGGCTTGAATTTTAGCCCCCAAATGGGTCATGAATTCTTGAATCTACACTACCTGAGGATGATTCCACATGAGTTTTATCTTTCCTGGCCCAGTGGTTCTTGAGAAGAAGATTTTTTTTAAAATGCCATTAATTTTTCTCTAATTTATAATTATCTCCACTTTGAAAAGGGCCTGGCCCTTCATTTGAACAAACTTGAATTCCCTTTACCCAAGGATACTTTGAAGCAAGTTTGGTTGAAATTGGCCCAGTGGTTCTTGAGAAGAAGATGAAAATGTGAAAAGTTTACAACAAAGACAACGACGAGCACGACAGACAACGGACAAATTTTGATCAGAAAAGTCCACTTGAGCCTTTGGCTCAGGTGAGCTAAAATACATAAAAACTCTTGTCAATTTTGTTTTTTGAGAAAAAAAAAAATATTTAGGTTTATTTGTACCAAACACAAGAACAGATTCACTAAAGATATCTAATTGTAAAAAGATTTTTTTCTTCTGATATACCTGTGAGTCCTTGAAAAAATTATACAAAAGGATGTCATCAAATTCTAGACCCTTCGCTTCATATATCGTAAGAACAATGCCCTGCTGCAATTCATCAGGCAAATTATCTCTCGCTTCATCATTTACGACAAGAACTGCCTGATGAGCTCCGAATTCTATGCGAGATGTCGATTGTTTCTTCCCTTTTAAAATTACAGCTAAATCACTTCAAAGAAAAATACAATTACATTAAAACAATGACAACATATCTCGAATTAATTAAAATTTTATATTTCAGAATTTTTTTTCAGAAATTGTTAGCTGGGATAATAATATCATCATGTATATAAAGGATGTTATATCAAAACTATAAACATGTACATGTATGTAGAAATAAAGGTTGTTAAATATTGCTACAGACATATTTCTATCTTGTATTAAAAAGACTGGTTAATATTAAAAAAACATATGCACCTCACATCACACGATTCTAGTAGAATTGGAGCTGGTCCTTGAAATAATCCTTGGTCTTTCTGCAGAGGGTCAAAGGATTCTGGAAAGTATTTCACGAGAATATCAAGAATGCTGGATGCTAGCCATAGTATTCCGGTATGAGATCGATAGTTGTGTGTAAGTTGGTGGATCTATCAAAGAAATATTACTGAAGTCATATTAGTTTGGAATTATACTAATCGCATCTATCAATTTCAACCGTTCACGGTAGCTCAGTCGGTAGAGCGCTTACTCCGTGATCGGGAGATCGTGAGTTCGAATCTCGGCCGTGACTGATCCAAGTCGATAAACCAGAAGTCTCTGTCGAGACTGTAGCTCTACTGGTATGTACTTATCAAAAACCATTGCACTATTTTATGTATCTTTGTGTAGTCTACTTGTGTGCCAACTTATTTTGAAATCAAACTAGAACAGTAGAAGGAGTAGCGTTTTTAAGGAATTTCACAGAAAATTCTATTTTTAGTAACCATGGTAACACCGTTCATCGAAATCAGAAACCGATGCACTATTCTATGTATCTTAGGGTAGTCTACTTGTGTGCCAACTTATACTGAAATCAGACCAAAACTGTAGAAGGAGTAGCGTTTTTAAAGAATTTCACAGAAAATTCTATTTTTAGTAACCATGGCAACACCGTTCATCGAAATCAAAAACCGATGCACTATTCTATGTATCTTAGGGTAGTCTACTTGTGTGCCAAGTTATATTGAAATCAGACCAAAACTGTAGAAGAAGTAGCGTTTTTAAGGAATTTCACAGAAAATTCTATTTTTAGTAACCATGGCAACATCGTTCATCGAAATTAAAAACCGATGCAATATTCTATGTATCTTTGTGTAGTCTACTTGTGTGCCAACTTATTTTGAAATCAAACTAGAACAGTAGAAGGAGTAGCGTTTTTAAGGAATATCACAGAAAATTCAATTTATAGTAACCATGGCAACACCTTTCATCGAAATTAAAAACTGATGCACTATTCTATGTATCTTAGTGTAGCCTACTTGTGTGCCAAGTTATATTGAAATCAGACCAAAACTGTAGAAGGAGTAGCGTTTTAAAGGAATTTCACAGAAAATTCTATTTATAGTAACCATGGCAACACCGTTCATCGAAATCAAAAACCCATGCACTATTCTATGTATTTTAGTGTAGTCTACTAGTGTGCCAAGTTATATTGAAATCAGACCAAAACTGTGGAAGGAGTAGCGTTTTAAAGGAATTTCACAGAAAATTCTATTTTTAGTAACCATGGCAACACCGTTCATCGAAATCAAAAACCGATGCACTATTCTATGTATCTTAGTGTAGTCTACTTGTGTGCCAAAGTATATTGAAATCAGACAAAAACTGTGGAAGGAGTAGCGTTTTAAAGGAATTTCACAGAAAATTCTATTTATAGTAACCATGGCAACACCGTTCATCGAAATCAAAAACCCATGCACTATTCTATGTATCTTAGTAAAGTCTACTTGTGTGCCAAGTTATATTGAAATCAGACTAAAATTGTAGGAGGAGTAGCGTTTTGAAAAATTGTTTACAGACAGACGGACAGACAGACGGACAGACAGACAGACAGACAGACAGACAGACAGACGGACGGACGGACGCCGGACGCATTACTATCGCATAAGCTCTTCTGGTCTCTGACCAGTAGAGCTAAAAATTGGTAGCAACTGTTCCTTCACCATGCGCTCAGCACTTTGAAGTGAAAGTTGCGGGTCCTTCGGATGAGACCTTAAAAACCGAGGCCCCGTGTCTGCGGCAGGCGTTGGCACGATAAAGATCCCTCACTGCTCAATGGCCCTACGTGCAGAGTAAGGTCAGAATTTGAAGTTATTCACCGGCATACGGTGCCATCTTCATATATGAGTGAAAAATTCTCGGGAGGGACGTTAAACAATATACAATCAATCAATCTATCTGTCAATTTCATAAGCTTTTTTTATCTAGTAAGTAAAACTTTTTATTATTTAATGCAATACAATGCTTATCCTACAATTCTGAATATTCTGTTCTAAACACATTTACTGGGTATTTATTCTAATATGATGATGTTAACGGTCGAATCTGTAGAAAATCCTTTCTCGTGTCGCTTGCGTATTGCAATGGTAAGAGCATTTGCTTTAGAATCGAAAAGTAAAAAAAAGAATTCCATACTTCGCGGGTTAGGTTTCCCTTGCTTGACACGGAAACGAGTGAGACCGTATACACAGAGAGCATGCGTCTCGAACGGTATTGGCAGAAAAATACCCCCACTGCTCAATGACCTTGAGTGCCGAGTTCAGATATAGATTTGCAGTTCCTCATCGAGAGGTGGTGGAGTCTCCATAAAATATTCTAGGGTTACGTTAAACAATAAAATTGATAGATTTAATGGCAGTCTACCTTTTCTGGAATTTGGATGTCTGTAAATGGCTCTTGAGATTTCTTTGCATGATAGAAAAGAGAACGGAGGTCTTTGAAACGGAAAGAGATTCCTCTCATTATACTTTGAGCTGTGTCACCTGTCAAAAACATATCATTTGGGTTTTGACAAATATTCAATAGCAAATAAAGTTCAGCTTGAGTAAAATCTTGTGTCTCATCCACGTATATTTCTTGAATCTTCCACTCATCTTTTCTGAAATGTCCCATCCTTAAAAAAGAGAGAATGTTATTGCAAAATACATAATATGAAAATGTATGCAAATTCATCAAAGACAAAAAAGGTAATAATTAATAAATGAGAAAACCTGTTGAAAATATTTCGGACAACATCCGTTTCATCAAATAAACAGTGCTGTTTCAAGTAATGTTTATATTTTAAGAATATTTCGTAAATAGTCTCTCGTTCCCCTGTAAAATTAGGGGCCTTTTTCCTTCCATGTTCAATGTATTCTTCTTTGCTGAGATAGCCCAATTTAGTGAACAAAGCCTCGTAAGATCCTTTAATGAATGATATAATTTCTGTCCAAATAAGAGATGGATGGTAATGTTCATTGCATTTGTTTATTCTTGGCCAAACTACATTGGAAAATATGCTATAGTTTACTTCTTTTCTAATGTCAGGCTTCTTTTCATATTCAACTGCATCATTATTTGTGTTTGGATGTCCATCTTCGTCGGATGAATCATCACTCTCACTTTCAGAATTATCTTCAAATTGGTGAAGAAAACTGAGTGAATCGTCCTCATTTGTCCATCCAGGCACGTCCACCTTTAATTGAAAACATGGAAACTGTATTTAAGACTTCAACATCTTACTAAAACAAAAAGCACTAAATTTTCTGTCCAAAACAACTTTAACTTTTTTCCTAGAAAACAATGATAATTGTTCCCAAACAGTAACTTTTTTACATGGACAATAAATACGATTGATGGTCAATTCATTAATGGTAATTTATGCTTCATTTACACCCAAATTATTTCAGGTCAAATAAAAATTTCAATGAAAATAAATCTACATTTGTTTAAAGAATATCATTTGCAAACATTTAAATCTCAAGCAGGCACATTATTATTTTTTTTTTGGGGGGTGGGGGGTGGGGTGTTTTTTTTTTTATAGCTTTCAGTCAGATGTTTTTTATAAAATGAATTAACCAAATAATTTTGTAATAATTTTTTTTTCAGTTTTTCCGAAATATGCTGAATCATTTTTATTTTTTTAAATTGCAATTTGAGACGTCTATTTCTATCGTTCTATCGATCTGTTTAGAGATCTAACTATTCGTAAAAAATTTAATTTGGTTGATGCTTCTCAATGAGAGATGCAAGACATTATATATGGAAAGTAATTTGCCATGGGTCTACAACAACTATTCAAATCAGGGCCCATGATATTCTGAGAATAATGAAATATCTGTGTATTCGAAACATTTTCTTTTCAGAGCTTTAAAAATACCAATATATTCCCAGATGAATCACGTTTAAAAAATGGATCTGGAAGAGATGCATCCAACGTAAGTAAAAGCCTCCTCGATGTTGTAAAAACTGGAAACTGGTCGTTCTGAAGGTCCTGGAACTTTGCTGGTAGAGGATGGTAATCTCTTGGCACTATTTTTGATCCTATTTCACTAGCATTCCTTAATTCACGAAAACATTTTTGAACTTCATTGCATAGAACTAGATTCTTGGTGATGAACATTTGTTGTAAATTGGTGTATTCAATATTTTCTTCAGCAATCTCTTCATTTTGGTTTCCTTTTGAAATTTAAAGAGATCATGCATGAAATAAAATTAAACAGGTAACAAGAGACAAAACAAACTGTGAGAGTTAGAGAGAGAAAGAGAGAATAAAAATTTACCCTCATATTTTTTTTGTTCGACTTCCTTTCTCCAGTGACGATCAAATCGATTCCAGAGTCTATAAAGGCAACATGTAGTTTTTCCTGTCCCACTCCTCCCTAACAACAAAACTGGTCTTCTGGAATTTATATTAATAACAGAATGTTCCGTTTCTGTTACTTTGAATGGAAAATCTTTTTTACAATCCATATTCTGTAAGGCAGATAATGCCATATCGGTTGTAAATAAGTAGAATTTAAGAATATGATATTCTGTGACAACATGACTTGCGGGAAATATTAGTTTTTGTACTCCTTCTGTATCCAAAGAGCATTCAAAATATTTTCTTGGAATTCGTTTTCCTTTTGCAAACTTCTGATGAAGCATTTTGGAGCAGTTGACGTATTTTTTAACAACACATTCTTCTCCCCTTGAAATAGATTCTGATATTCTTCTTAGTGCTTCTTCTTTTTTCTCCTGATTTTCAACAATATCCCAAACTCGTATGATCTCTGTATATACACTCCTGCAATTATCATCGATTGCTGAGAGTTTCGATGAAAAGCAGACAGCTATTTCCCATAAAATAGGAGTTGACTCGTGTATTTCTATTTCTGCATTTACATTTGAAATGCCTATTTTTCGACAACAATTGAAAAAAAATTCACCACGAGCTAGGTTTTGTAGTTTTTTGATGATATCTATCTTCCAGTGCTGTGACAAAGCTGGGTTAAGCAATTTACTCCAAACTTCATGAGTGCATTCAATTTCCCATTCATGGCTTTCAAAAAAATGTGGATCAATCTAAATGAAAAAAATTGATATACATATTTATACATTTACAGTATGTCTATATGTAAATATTAAAGACCTTATCCAAAGGTTAAAAACAAGATGTGTTTGTAAAACACTGATGCCCCCGTATGGCAACATAGCAAAGATTAAGCTTTTCTTAAATGCAAATTTAATTAATTCGTACCAAAAGTAGGGTATTCTCATTGGAAAACAATTGTGAAATTTGAAAGTAAGCTAATGTTAAAGTTTTTTAATGAGTACAAAAATCTCCAAGGTCAAGGTCAAAAGGTCATGTAATTAGTATCAAATGAAAGGTCTTGCCACATAAAATACTTATGTAGACCATGAAAGTCCTAGCCCTAACCGTTCAGAAGTTATGGTCAACGTTCAATTTCTTAAAAAGTAGGTCAAACTCCTAGGTCAAGGTCAAACTTATTGTTATTAAATGAAAGGTCTTGTCATAAGGATCAAATATGTAAAGTATAAAAGCACTAGCCCTAAGTCTTTAAAAGTTATGGTCAATGTTTGCTTTTTTTAAGTATGTCAATCTCAAAGGTCAAGGTCAAAGGGTCAAGGATCTTCATATCCAATGAAAGGTCTTCTCACAAGAATTACATATATGAAGTATGAAAGCCCTATCCCTTACCGTTCAAAAGTTATGGCCAAGGTTAAAGTTTTTTCACAAATACGGAAATCTACAAGGTCAAGGTCAAAGGGTCAAGGTTGTTGGTATCCAGTGAAAGGTCTTTTAACAAACATTACATATGTGAAGTATAAATGTCCTGGTGACTACTGTTCAAAAGATATGCCTAAAGTAAAATTTTAAAATTTTCATGTAAAAGTAGGTCAAACTCCAAGGTCAAGGTCAAAAGGTCAAATTTGGTAGTACCCAAAGAAAGGTCTTGTCACAAGGAATACACATATGAAATATGAAAATCATAGCTCTTCTAAATCAAAAGTTATGGGCAAGGTTAAAGTTTTTGCGGACAAACAGACAAACAGAGAGACAGACAGACAGACAGACAGACAGACACGACAAAAACTATATACCCCCGAAACTTCGTTTACGGGGGCATAAAAATCCATTACCATGAATATTCACTTTTAAAGTTGATATATACTAACATCTTTACCTGAAACTACGCAGTACAGTTAAGGTGCGCAATAGAAATATATATACAATATTTTGTAATTATGTTCCCCAAACGAAGTTGGGGAACATATTGTTTTTACTCTGTTTCTTATTATTATTATTATTATTATTTTTCTTCTTCTTCCTGGGTACTTTTTTGTCCGGGAATGATCTTGTAAACTGTTCGTCTGATGTAGGTAAAACCTTTTTAGGGTAGGTAGACATGTTATGTAGATTTGCGGAATCAAGGTCATTTTGCGCGCACGTGCTTGCAAGAGCGTGCACGTGCAACACGTGAAATGACCGATTTAATTGAAATAGGCGTAACTTTTTACATTTTTGATGAACTGCTTTAAAACTCATAACATAAGAATATATTAGAAGTATAAACAATATCGCATGGTCAAAATAGCAAGATCTCACGCGCATGCACGTGCGCTTTGCTCTGATTGGCTGAAATTAAAGTCTCAATATCTTTCTTGTTTATTGACAAAATCCTTTGAAATTTTGAAGATAGCCATGCAATAGGATATCCTACAACATAATATATAGCAATTATCATGAAAACACGTGCATGCACGTGCGCTGCAATCTGATTGGCTGAACCTTTAAACAGCTATAACTCCCTTGGTTTTCAACCAAACAGGATTGGATTTAGAACATAGATATATATAACAGACTTCTACAAGAAGATATGGTCACATGCACACGCATACACGTGCGTGTATGTGCGCTGCAATCTGATTGGCTTAAACTTTAAACAGCTATAACTCCCTTGGTTTTGAACCAAACAGGATGGGATTTAGAACATAGACACATATAATGGACTCCTAGAAGAAGGTATGGTCATCATGAACATTCTTGCACGAGCATGAACGTGCGCTTCGTTCTGATTGGCTGAAACAAAAGTCTCAATATTTTTTTCTGTTTTTTGACGAAATGCTATGAAATCTTAAAATATATACATACTTTAGGATGTACTACAATATTATGTATAACAATTATCGTGAAAACACGCGCATGCACGTGCGTTGCAATCTTATTGGCTAAAAATGTAAATGGCTATAACTCCCTTGGTTTTGAACCAGACAGGATGGGATTTAGAACATAGACAGACATAATAGACTCCTACAAGAATGTATAGTCCTCATGCACGTGCATGCACGTGAAATGAATAAAATTAAAAATACGCTTAAATGAGTTTATTTCTTAATACTTCTGCATTAATTGATTTGATATTAAGTATATTAAAATATATAAATAGTGTAGACAAAACGATATGGTCATTACGCACATGCATTCAGATGAGCACGCGTGCAATGCTAAAATTTATTGCATAAAATGTGTCTTATTTAATAGCGCTTGCAGCGAATATGGCACCAAAAGGGAGTTGGGGAGCGTTTGGGGAACATCTGTAACGGTCCCCGTTACAATTAGCCCTAGTTAAAAATGTATTCATAATAAGAATGGCGATTATTTTTAGTACAATATTTATATCGGATAATTGTAATGATGGTTTATAACTACATATCCAGGACAATTAAATTTTATATTTAGACTTGTCACGTGATGCGACAGTCACCTGTTTTTAGCACATTTATTTGCAGTAAATTTCACTAGTGCAAGGGCATAATAACGTTAATTAAAATTCCAAGTTTAGTTTATAAATATTTTCAACATGCATTGTAGTTTCTGAAAAATGCTGTGATTCTGCCTAAATTCTGCAATTTCATTGTTTAAATTATATATGTATGACCGAATGCTGTATTTTTTGCTGGTCAACGGCATGATATATTGATAAAATTAAACTATTTTTAAGATTTCATCGGAATCGCAGCACTTTTTAGATACCTAAATAGTCCTATAGTTGAATTGTAAAAGCTTACTATGATCCATAGAGTGTATGCCCTTGCACTAGATCGTTTATTAAGATCCCCCACATAACCCCCCGATGTGCTTGCATACAAATATACGGCAGTGTCAATTAACCCTCTGGCTGCGGGAAGGACATATATGTCCTTTTACCGTTCACTGCGGGAAGGACATATATGTCCCCGGCGACGTCATTAATTTTATTCCGTAATATGTAAAGTAATTTCAGTAAATATTGGAAAATTTTGTTTGTCTGGCACCTAAAATAGCTAAATAAGAAAACTAAAATATTTTTTTTAATAAAGGTTAGTTCTTTATCTTATTTTTTAATTACAAATTACACTGCGTTTAAATGTAATTTCATTTTTGAAAGTTTAAAGAGAAATATAACTCATGTATGTATTTGACATTTTCGTTCGCATGTAAAAGAAGTTTTACTATCCGTAACCAACATTTTTTTTTAATTTTGATTTATTCCACTTGTCCATACCGAGGAAAAAATGGTCGATTTTGAAATTATTACATAATGTGGCATTTTAACTTGACTGCGGGAAGGACATATATGTCCTTTTACCGCTGGCTGCGAAAGGGACATATATGTCCCTGGCGACGTCATAAAGTTTGAGAAGTCTTTTCACTTTCTTAATTGAAATTTATATATTATAATAATTAAATTTGAAGTTTTTGCTGAAATAAAAGCTTAAAAATTTTGAAACAACTACCGATTAATAAAAGTTGAAAGTTAAAAAAAATATATTATAATAATTCATGCATTTTTTATGCACTGATATGCAAGTTTAAAATGCGCAAACAGAATTTACTATAAAAATAAGTAATTAAAATCACTGAGAAAGCTATTAAATTTTACTGTCCATATAATCACTTCCTTAAAAGTAGTTTTACTAGGTACGTATATTGGGTATATTTACTAGTAAGATAACATTAGTGAATTAAGAATTCATAAGCAACTTTCACTAGGCTGGTATCTAAGTATCAATACGACCCTAGCTCCACAACTCACTTTCTTACGACAAAGGATTTAGTATATTCACTAGTTAAATTCACTAGGTTTTTGTCTTAGTGAATACCTTTTCGCAATTTAGTTCTAACATAAATACCGGTAATGCATGTATCTGTAAATCTAAATTAAGGATCTTACAGTCAATTTTGTTGAGGAAAAATCATAATCGTATAATATGATAAAAGATATTACATGTATATTAAAATTTTAAAAAGCGTACTAAATGAAAATACATATAGAATTTTTTCTGCACATGTTCTTTTGTGGGTAAAAGCACGTTACAGTGTATATAATTTAGAAATATTTCAAAAAAGTTTACAATATTCAATTTTTATTCATTTACACATTTTTTCCAAGATTAAAAAATTATTGTTTCTAAAAAATTATCTTGATTTTTAGTTTAAATTAATAGGAAACTGACAGCGGAAATGATATTCATCTGCCTTCGGGTCAATTTTCTAGAATTAGCCAGGACATGCAAATCTCAGTCGCACTCTAGCAAACCATTTTCTCGATGCACCTAGGACTCTGTTAAACCCAACTTTTATCGTAGTATCCCAATCAAATCTTCGAATAATTAATAGATAATCTGTACCTCAATTTAAAAGCTTTATCAACTTTCTTGGAAGAAGAAACAAGTCGATTTGCAGATCTGAACATGCAGGTTTTATTTTCGCAACATGACCCCAGAGTCAATTCAAGTAGGTTTCTCCATTGCAATGATTAATTATAAATGCAATCTTAAATATCGGAGTTAGCATCGTACTCTTTATGCGTTCGTTTTAGAAGATCCTGAAAAGGAATACAATGTTGCCCCCCCCCCCTCATATTTTTTTTTGTCGTATAAGGTTAATGTAAATTTTAAGACATTGACATTTTTTGCTAAATTGTCAGATTTAAAAACACTCATTTTATTGTAATGTAAACTTCTGAAGTAATTGCTATATCACTAACAAAACCACACAAAGTTTTTATGTCAATATT